CCAAGTGGCCCGTTTAACCCCTTCAAAGCCAGTGTGTTCTACAGACGGTCCTCCGTCCAGCCCTGCCCTCGCCTCCCTACTCAAGCCCCGCAGAAGTGCTCACTCTATTTCCATGTTCAGAAGCTCCACCAAGGCGTTGAACGTGCCCACCTCCAGCAGCAGAAAGATGTTGTAGCGCATCCAGAACTGCACCTCTGCCTCCGAGCTGCACTCGCCAAAGGTGCCTGCCAACACACGGCAATGCTCGCCAAGCCCACCCCCACGTCTGACTGGGCGACGTCACTGGCAGAGGCGCCAGGGGACCCAGGCGAGGCCCACCCAGTACCTTGGGCAACGTAGAGAATTGCTCGAGCCACCTTGAGTCTCTTCTCCCTGGCAGTGACTTCCAAGCCATCCAAGAGCCTCATGGCATGGGTTCGGTGCTGGTTGGTGTCCAGCTCGGTCCACTTTTTGTCTGTCACTGCAGGGCAAGACACCAGTGATACCTGAGCCTAGAAAAATGCTCACAATGGAAGAGACCCGCTGTTGATCCACCAAATTCAGGATTGCCATAGGGGTGGAAAGACCGGTGACTCTGTGGAAGGGGCAAGGTCCGACTGCTGCTCTATGAATCGGAACTTCCTGACCCAAACACTACAGTCACACAGATTCTTCCCCAGTGCTCACATTCTGAAAAGCCGCCAGCAAAGGCCCACAAGGCGACTCTACGTGCTGCACCCGGCCTGGAACAAGTCGGTCCAACAGGTTTCTCGGGCCATTCCAGGATGACTTAGGTCATCCAGATGACTAAGAGAAACTGGAGCTCTTGCAACGCCGGTGATGAGCCAAGAAATCAGGAAACCACCTCACCATGAGTCCTGAAGTCTTCCTCGAAGCATTTTCTGTTCATCAGGAATTCCGGTCCTTCCGTGTAGCTGTAAAGCTCTGTCAAGAACAGAGTCTCGTCACAGCAGCTCCACACCTGCTTCCCCAGGGGACTCCCAAGTAGCCAGCAAGGTCAGGTGTGTGCTTCCGGGACCAACTCTGCCCCTGCACCCGTCGACTCCTGGCCTATGCTAATCACTCGGGGTGGGGGTGTCTTAGGGCGCTCGGGTATGTAATGCAGAGAATGCTGACTCCCCCTGCAGCTGAAATCCAGGACACCGGAGAAGCATAAATACAGGCACTTCCATCTGATACGCACCGATCCACCATGCCACGCCACGCCACGCCATGCCATGCCAGAGGTGAGCGCCACCTTGAAACTGTCTCCCCAGTGCTACCTGCCAACTGACCCGGGAGTATGGAGGCTGGAGAAGCAGCTCACATTGGACTTAGGTCACACAGGAGTGGCTGTGGCAATGGCAGATCTGCACACATGCAGGCGTGTTTGCTGGTATCTCCCATGACACACTACTGTATGGGAGGCGACTGCTGGGGGACAGTGTATGGCCAAGGAACATTACCATGTCACCCTGGGACTAGGCCCTAGCCAACTGAGCTGAATACAGAGATGTTTCAGAAAAGTAAAGAACAGGGCTGGCGTTGAGGCCTAGCAGGTTAAGCCATTGCCTACAACGCTGGCATCCCATACGAGTGACAGTTTGTGTCTCAGCTGCTCCATTTCTGATCCAGCTCCCTGCTAATGTGCCTGGGAGAGCAGCAGAGGATGGCCCAAGTGCTTGGGCCCCGGCACTCACGTGGGAGACCTGGATGAAGTTCCAGGCTCTTGGCTTTGGCCTGGCCTAGCCCTTGCCATTGTGGCCATTTGGGGAGTGAACCAGCAGATCAAAGACCTCTCTTTTTCTGTCTTTCCCTCTCTCTCTGTAATTTTGCCTTTCAAATAAATTAATACATCTAAAAAAAGGAAGGAAGAGAGAAAAAACAAATGAAAGAGAGAAAGAGAACAAACAAAAGAACGATCGAACCCAGTTTCAAGGTACACAAAACTTAAACAAAATAACATACTATTCACATATATGTATGCATACATATGTGTGTGTGTGTATCACTGATACAACTAAGGAAAAAATGATTCCAAAATGATACACATTGTAAATCTCCGTAAAGACCAATATGGAGAAAACTGCCCCCAGATGACAAAAGGACTGTGCTTTACCCGACAGCTCTGCGGCCCACTTGTCTGTGTCAGCATATTCAAACTCAAGGTCTGGTGACTCGGAGTAGCCCTGTTGACAAAAGGAGACAGCGTTACGCGTACTTTACAAAGCAGGAAACAGAAATGCACCCAGAGCCACCACTGTTCCCAGGAAACCACTGCCTCCCCTTTGCTTGCTGTTCGATCACCATATTTCGTCTCCTGGGCTAGCCCCGCGCTCCTCCCCACCAAGCCGTCTCAGAGCACCTTATCCTGTCCCTCCAGAGCGCCTGTAACTACTGCATGTGGGGTCCAGTTTCCACCTCGCCACGAGACTGCAAGGCCCTTGAAAGCAGGAAGTCAGTCCACGTTGATCAGCAGCGATTTCACAATGCCCAGCACAGTCCTCCACTGCTTTATATTCAAATCCCTCTCAAATGAACGAACACAAAGCTTCCAAGTACGTTGTGCCCTGAAGCCACTATTCCACAAAGTGCTAGGATTCCAGAATCTAGGCAGCTAGTGGGCTATCAACCCAGCATTCAAACTCTTAGTCTCTCGCCCTTGTCTCAAACTGCAGTGAGAACTGACAGAGAAGGCAGCAAACAGATGGGCCCGCCTCCCACACACAGGAGAATGCGACAGACCCTTTTCACTGCTGGGCACAGGTGATTACCCAGAACACACCGTCCTGTAGGCCTCGCGATAGCAGAGTGGTGAAGAGAGCGGTTCCCACCCTCAGTCTTAGGTAACATCTACAACAAGAGCTCTGCCCCTTATTCCGAGACAACACACGACCCCTCTCCCAAGTCACTGAGCTTCGCACTTTCCTTTTTAGAAGATTTACTTTACTTAGTCATTTGAAAGTCAGAGTTACAGAGAGAGAGAGAGAGACAGAGAACGAGAACTTTCACCCACTGCTTCACTCCCCAAATGACCACAACAGGCAGGGCTGGGCCAGGCGAAAGTCAGGCACTTCATCTGGGTCTCCCACACGGGTGCAGGACCCCAAACGCTTGGGCCATCTTCCGCTGCTTTCCCAGGCCATAGCAGAGAGCTGGGTCAGAAGTGGAGCAGCTGGGACTTGAACCAGTGCCCATATGGGATGTGGGCCTCGCAGGCGATGGCTTAACCCACCACGCCACAGTGCCAGCCCCAGTTTCTTCCTTTTTGGAATGGGGATGAGGAAAGTCTACCCTGCAGGTTTTTAAGAACCGATCAGGATTATGTAGCACAGAGCGCTCTCGGCAGAGATCAGCCTCCCTATCTCCCAGGCATAGATCCAGCTCCCAGCTACTGCCTTCCGCCTGACTCAGCCTCTGCACCTTAAGGAGACACCTGCAGACAGTCTCCTGGCCTCCCGTGGGTTCAGTCTCGGTGGAAATGAAAAGGTAGTAAGAGACGTGAAAATGCACCCAACGGTATTCAACTGGTCATGGCTACTCAGGAAAATGTAAAGCCATTTTCAAAAATAACCCCTCTCAGGATGAAGGTGGGCTTACGCCCCTCACTCTCACAACCTCCCCGTGCTTGAAAAAGTACTGAGTCGTCCTCCTGGATGTCCCACCACCCACGGGTCCCACAAACGTCGGTTTCCTTTGCTTTTCCAAAGAATTCACTTCCAGCTCCAACTCTGAGCTTGCCAGTGTTTTACACCAGAGGTCTGGGGTTGCAACAAAAGCACAGAAGACGGAGAGGAGCTGATCCTGCACGTCCAAAGCCAGTATCCCGGCTCTGCGGCGGGGAAGAGTGGGGACACTGCGCCTGGACAGCGATGGCTCCCTCTCACTCATCAGCGCCAGTCGGCGGAGCGGCCCGGGATTGCGTCAGGTGAAGGAGACTGCATAGTAAGAGCTCTGGCACGCGCTGATTACGATGCCCTACAACGCTGCGACGTGCGTCTTCATTCATGAATCTGCGCAGGGAAGCGGTAGGAGCAACGCCTTCTCTCGGGGCGAGGTGAGCAGTCAGCTGCTCCCCAGCCGGCGCCCCTGGAACTCGAGCGAAGCCTGGGTCCCCGGCACGAGTGCGTCTAATCCTTTAAGGGCCCCCAGCATCGGGCGCTCTGGGCACACCAAGCACTGCCAACCCATGGCCGGAGCCTGCACCAGAGGCAACGCCCCCTGCTCTCGAAAGCTCCGGCCTCGCTGTACTATGAGTGGTCATTAGCTCCATCCGCCTTCCAGGCGCCTTGTGTCTAAACCCTCGCCAGCCGCCTCCCTGCCCGCCCGCGCCGTCCGGTCGGCGCCCTCCACCGAGAGGATAAGAGACTGGGGGCGCCCGCTTTTCATCGGCGGCCGCGGCGGGGGCGGCTTGTCCGCGGGAGCCAGCGGGTGGATGCCGGCTCCGGGAGCCTGTCTCGGGCGGCGCTGCCAGCCTCACGCCCCCGGCCCGGGGAACTGCCACACCAGCCTCGCTGCCTGCTCCTTCGGCTGTAAAGTGACAGCTCCCCGGTCCCGCCCCGCCGAACCCCCCGGGAAGCCCAGCTCGGCCGCGAGCGCGAGCCCGGGCCCCCAGCCGCCGCCCGCCGGGTCCTAGCCTCGCCCCCAGAAGCTCCTGACCTCCGAGTCTTTGCGCTGGTTGCGGTTGAACTCGCGGGTTTTGCCTCCGGGCAAGAGGCCTCCGCCCGCTCGCGGTGCTCCAGGGGGAGGCTGCGCAGCCGCGGGCGGTGGAGGTGGCGGCGGCTGAGGCTGTTTGTTATTCACAATCAGAGGGCCTGGACCACCGGCTGCCGGCTCCATCTTGGCTGTTCCACACCCCCGGCTCAATTCACGAACAGTCCCCGGGATGCAAATCTCGCGTGACTTCCTCCAGGAACGCTCTCTCTGTTCGCCATATTGAGTGTGGCGGCAAGTGCGGGAAGCCATCTTGGCTGCCCGACATCTCGCGATATTTCTCCTGGCTGAAATACTGGTTTTCTTGGTCTTTTCAGTTTCTGCTCTTTCTCTCCAGTTCTACTCAGATGTCGTTCTGTGTGTGAGGCCTGCTCTATCTCGTTCAGTCTGTTTAGCGGCCCCCCTCTTTCCTCTAAAATCGATTTACACTTAGCAATGTCATAGCAGTGTTCAAAACTTAGGGATACCGTAGGGAACAAGATGGATAAGACCTTTTCATGGAGTTTGCACTCATTTGGGGTAGCCATGCACGACTAAATCAATCACAGTGTGGCACGTGCACTCATTGTCTGCTATGCTTAAGCAGTGAGATAGCACAGAGAAAACTCCCAGTCCATAAATGCCTAGTGGGCCAAACAATGAACAAAAAAGGGTGATATTAGAGAAATAAGGCTGTGAGGTATTCGAGGAAAAGGTATTCATGACACTTGTTAAAGATATCAGGGCAGAGCCGGCGCCGTGGCTCAATAGGCTAATCCTCCACCTTGCGGCGCCGGCACACCGGGTTCTAGTCCCGGTCAGGGCACCGGATTCTGTCCCGGTTGCCCCTCTTCCAGGCCAGCTCTCTGCTATGGCCAGGGAGTGCAGTGGAGGATGGCCCAGGTGCTTGGGCCCTGCACCCCATGGGAGACCAGGAAAAGCACCTGGCTCCTGGCTCCTGCCATCGGATCAGCGTGGTGCGCCGGCCGCAGTGCGCCGGCCGCGGCAGCCAGTGGAGGGTGAACCAACGGCAAAGGAAGACCTTTCTCTCTGTCTCTCTCTCTCACTGTCCACTCTGCCTGTCAAAAAAAAAAACAAAAAAACATTTAAAGATATCAGGGCAGAATTTGTTCAACAGGGCACAAGTATAGGGGCCACTGCAACTTTGGCTTGCCTTAAGGGAGAGATTGAACCTAACTTTGCCTCCAAAAAGGACAAGTGAGGATCCGTGGACCAAAAACTACTAGGAGGAAGCATCAAGGGTAAGGTTTCTGACTAAGCTGACTTGACAGGATTACTGCTGGGGGCAGCCAGAGTACTGAGACATCAAGAGTGGTCCCACATCAAGGGTGAGTTTTTTGTTAAACTGACTTTGCAGGATTCTTGCTCAAACTGGATTCAACAAGGACAGAGAAGGGAGCCCCAGTTCAGGCCTGGTCAGGCAGAAGACTCAGGAGCCTTAACAAAGTTTGATCCAAGGAGAGAAAAACAAGAGTAAGTATAAGGGATTATGAGGTGGCAAGTGGGGGCTGGCTAATGGGTTAAGCCACACCTGTGATGCCAGCATCTCATATGGGCATTGGCTCAAGTCCCAGCTGCTCCACTTCCAATCCAGCTCCCTGATAACACGCCTGGAAAAGTGGCAGGAGATTCTATGTATGGTTAGTCCAGTACAAGGGAGACCCAGATGAAGCTACTGGCTTTGGCCTGGCAGAGGCCCTGCAGTTTTGGACATTTGAGGGGTAACCAGCAAATGGAAGATTATCTATCTATTTCTTTATCCCTTTCTCTTTGTAACTCTGCCTTTCAAATAAATAAATCTAAAAAAAAGTGGCAGTGTGTGTGACCGTACTAGGTAGATTGCCTAGTTAGGCAGCCATAAAGATAGCATTTTGGATAAGTTCTGCAAGAAATGAAAGATCCAGGGAGGGAACATGGGCAGAGGGACCAGCTAAGTGCAGAAGCCCTGAGGTCAGTGTGGCTGGAACTGAGCAGAGGAAGAGCAGGAGTCAATGAGAGCTAGATGATGCAGGGGCCAGGAAAAAGCAGAGCCTTGGCACTTAACTTGGATCTTGTTCTAAGTGACATGGAAAACCATCAGTGTGTTAATCAGGTAGATGTCGTGGTCTGATGTTTAAAGATCAACCTGGCTGCTTTTGGAGAAGGGATTGGTGAGTTGTAAGAGTGGATGAGGGTAGACAAGTCAGGAGATGAGGGAGATGGCCATGAGGGTGCTTGTACCAGGATGGGGCATTGGGTTGGTATAATATTTCTATATTGTGTAGGTAGAGGTGGCAGGATTGGCAGATAGGCTGGAATCTTATCAACTGGATAGAGCAATTAAGGCTGAGTCCTAGATTTTTGGGTTGAACAACAAGGGGGATGGTTGTATTACTTTATTAAGAATATTTAAGATGGGGGGCTAGCACTGTGGTGCAGCAGGTTAAAGCCCTGGCCTGCAGCGCCAGCATCCCATATGGATGCTGTTTTAAGTCCCAGCTGCTCCACTTCCAATCCAGCTCCCCTGCTTGTGTGCCTGGGAAAGCAACATAAGATGGCCCAAGTCCTTGGGCCCCTGCACCCATGTGGGAGATCCAGATGAAGCCCCTGGTTCTTGGTTTTGGCCTCGCCCACCCCTGGGCTGTTGTAGCCATCTGGGGAGTGAACCAGCAGATGGAAGATTCTCTCTCTCTCCTCTATCTCTCTCTTAACTCTGTCTTTTAAATAAATTAAATAAATGAAAAAAATCTGGGAAAAGGAAAAACTTGTTTCAGACATGTCAATTCTGACTTGTAGATTACACATCTTAGAAGTGATATGTACTGGCCGGCGCCGTGGCTCAATAGGCTAATCCTCCACCTGCAGCACCGGCACCCGGGGTTCTAGTCCCGGTCGGGGCGCCGGATTCTGTCCCGGTTGCCCCTCTTCCAGGGCAGCTCTCTGCTGTGGCCCGGGAAGGCAGTGGAGGATGGCCCAAATGCTTGGGCCCTGCACCCCATGGGAGACCAGGAGAAGCACCTGGCTCCTGCCTTTGGATCAGCGCAGTGCGCAGGCCGCAGCGCGCCAGCGGTGGCGGCCATTGGAGGGTGAACCAACGGCAAAAGGAAGACCTTTCTCTCTGTCTCTCTCTCTCACTATCCACTCTGCCTGTCAAAAAAAAAAAAAAAAAAGATTTATTTATTTGAAAGGCAGAGTTACAGAGAGGTAGAGGAGGAGAAAGAGAAGTCTTCTATCTGCTGGTTCACTCCTCAAATGGCCACAGCAGCTGGAGCTGGGCCAATCCAAAGCCAGGAGTTGGGGGCTTCTTCTGGGTCTCCCACACAGGTTCAGGGGCCCAAGGACTTGGGCCATCTTCTACTGCTTTCCCAGGCCACTACAGAGAGCTCGATCGGAAGTGGAGCAGCTGGGACTTGAACTGGCGCCCATATGGGATGCCAGAACTGCAAGCAGCTGCTTTACCTGTTATGCCACAGCACCGACCCTGTATTTTTCCTTTTAAAAGTTTTTTAAAAATTATATATTTCAAAAGGAGAGAGAAAGAGAGAGAGAGAGAATCCCTTCTACTGGTTCACTCCCCAAATGCCTGCAATGGTTCAGGGTGGGCCAGGACTGGGCGGGGAGCTAGGAACACAGCACAGGTCTTCCATTTGGGTAGTGAGAAGTCAACGACTTCAGTCTGCATTAGCAGGAAGCTGGAGTCAGGAGCCAGAGCCAAAGACAGAATTCAGGTACTGCAGTGTGGGGCATGGGAGTCTTAGCCAGCATCTCAATTGCTAGGCTGAACACCTGCTCCCGAGGTGTCTTTTCCTATGCTACCAAGTTGGTGGATAGCTGGCAGCTCCTAGGTGGATGCAGCCTGGGAGCTGGTCACCAGAAAATCAGGCCGGATTAGAAGCCCCACCCTCTGGATGCCAGGAGAGGGAAAGGGATCAGAGGCTGAGCTGATCACCAACAGCCAAATGATGGACTCAATTGTGTCTGGGTAGCAAAGCCTCCTGAAAAACTCAGAAGGGCGGGGTTCAGAGAGCTTCTGGACAGCTGAACACTTGGCGACTCCTGCCCTGCCCCATGTGCTTTGCCCTGTGCCTCTCTCCATCCATACCCATCACAAGTCAGCAAACACGTTTCCCTGAGTTCTGTGAGTCCCCGAGGAGGGGACTGGGAGAACCCTCACTTATAACCAGTTGGTCAGAAGCACAGGGAAAAACCTGGGGTTTGAAGTTGTCCTCTGAAGTCAGGGGAGAACACAGTCGTGGGGACTGAGCCCCCAACCTCTGGGAGCTGCAGATAGATGGTGTCAGAGCGGGACTGGACGAGAGGACAGACAGCTGGGGTCCAAGGCTGTACCCACCACTTGCTCCTGGTGTCAGGAGTGTGCTGCAAGACTGCAGGCACAGAAGCAGTTGAAGTTGAAGTTTGTTTTTTCTACGCAGTCACTTGCTCTCCACCTATCACGACCTGCCTGCCTCTGTGGCCTCATCTCCTACTGCTCTCCTCCTTCCGTCTCCCCAGCCTCCTTTCTATTTCTCTAGCACAGCAAGCTGGCTGCTACCCCAAGACCTTTGTCCTAGCTTTGTTTTGAAGTGATTGGGCAGGGGAGGCTTGGAAAGTTCTTTATAATGATAGTATCAGTGGCAAATATTTCTGTGTGCTTACAGTCAAGCAGGCACCATTCCTTGGGCTTAAATTCATTCAATCATCACAGCAATGCTATGGAAGGGTCCCAATCTTCCATTTTGCAGTTGGAGAAACCAAGATCCATAGAGGCAGGGTATTTGCTCAGATTCACATTGTGTCTTAGACCAGGTCCCAGGGAAGCTGGCTCCAGGGCAGTTACCTCCAGAGTTTTACTGGTGCTGGGGATTGCACCTGGTAGTGCCATCTGCAAGGAGGGGAGAGAAGCAGGCTTGGGTAGAGGAGAAGTGTCAGTCAGTCCTAACAGGCTCTGGAGCTGTGACCTTCAGGGTGGCCCCACATTGCAGGCCAGGGGCTGGGCCTTAGACTCCTGTATGATTGGGTCCTTGGACAGCCGTCTGCCCCTGGGGAAGGGGCCTGTTTGGGCAGGGTGGCTCCCTTTCCCACAGGCAGTAACCACAGAAGGATGTGGCTGGGCACTCCACGTAGAGGAGTATGCCAGCCCTGGAGGGGGGAAACCTGGCAGTGTGCCAGAGCCCATCACCCACTATGCATTAGCTGCTGTTTCTCTAACAACTGAACGTTAACACCTAGAGGTTTCAAATGTCGCTTGTCTCACAGGTTCTCAGGGTCAGGAGTCTCTAGGGAGGGCTTTGTTAGTTGTCTCTACTCAAGGTGGTTAAAGGACAGGTTACACTGACACTGTAACTGGGTTCCTGCCCCTCTTGTGTTTCTAGCTCCTGGCTTTGACGTTGACCCACTCACAGCCATTGTGGGCATTTGGGGAGTGAGCTAGCAGATGGCACCTGTTTCTTGAATAAATAAAATTTTTAAAAAGGGGGGGCTATTGGGATGAAAGCATTGCATTTTGCATGTAAGGCATGAATTTTGGAGATGGGGACAGAATGCTAGGGTTTGAATGTGTCCCCTCAAATTAATCAGCTGAAACTGAAGTCACCAATGTGATAAAGTATTAAGAGGTGGGAGCCTTTGGGGGTGATTCAGTCGTAAGGATAGAACCCTCACGAATGGGATGAATGCCCTATACAAAGCTTTGGGGCAGGGGGTAGTACAGGCATTTGGTGCATTGGTTAAGATACCACTTGGTGTGCCAGCACCTCCTATTGGAGTGCCTAGTTCGAGTCCCAGTATCACTTCTGATTTCAGCTTCTTGTAATGTGCACTCTGGAAGGCTACAGTGATGGCTTGAAAAGTTGGGTTCCTGCTACCTATGTGGGAGACCTGGTTTGAGTTTTTTGTTCCTGGCTCTGGCCTGGTCCAGTCCCAGCTGTTGTAGGCTTTTTTTTTTTTTTTTTTTTTAAAGATTTATTTTATTTGAAAGGCAGAGAGAGAGAGAGAGAGAGAGAGAGAGAGAGATCTTCTACCTGCTGTTTCCCTCCCTAAATGGCTATAAAGGCTGGGGTTGGGCGGGGCCAAAGCCAGGAACTTGGAACTTCACCCAGGCCTCCCATGTGAGAGTGCTTCTCTTCCAGGTGCATTAGCAGGGAGATGGACTAGGTGTGGACAGCTGGGACTTCCATAAGGGATGCCGGCATTGCAGCACTGTGGTATGCGTCAGCCTGTTGCAGGCATTTGGTGAGCGGATGGAAGTGGATGGAAGATCTTTCACTCTGCCTTTCAAATAAAAAATGAAGGTTAAAAAAAAAAAAGTCGAAGGAACTAGTTAGGCCCTTTTGCCCTTCTGCCATGTGCGGATGCAGAGGCCATCCTGGAAGCAGCGGAGGGCAGCCTTCTCCAGACAGCAGACCTGCTCATGTCTTCACCTTGTCCTTCCCAGCTGCCAGCACTGGGAGGAATATACTTCAGTTCCTTACACATTTCGCAGGCTTAGGTATTTAGTTACAGCAGCAGGAACGGACTCAGACAAGATACACTGCTACATCAGAAGGTGCAGACACCTTCGGAGATGGATACGGGTGTGGCAGGAAGCTGAAGGCAAAAAATACTGGACAAGCTCTTGCAGCGGCCTGTGTACGTGAGGATCGAGCAGCCAGTCTCCTTCCTGAAGGCAGCTAAGAGTGAAAGTGCCCAGGCACACAAAGCTGCTTTCTGAAGAGCTGTACCCAGCCTCTACATATGAGGTCCTGAACAAATCGCTACTGAACACTGCTCACCTAGGACTGCCCCACTCTAGAAAACAGACTTTAATGAAGTTTTGCTGTCCAACCAAGAATGACACAAACTATCAATAAGGTCTCATCATTTTAATTGACTTTAATGATTATTGCTCATCTGCAAGGATTAATATTGCATTCATTAAAAATCATTCAATACAAAATGAACTTGTTCCTCCCAGGGTGCTCGCCACACGCTCCCTCTGATGCCATACATTTTCCACAGTGTCCTTTGTGACACGGCTTGACAGAGACGGAGCCCTTACCTATAATTCCTATGGACACAGTAATAGAAATGGGATCGGGGCAGGCCAGAGGGCAGTGGGCTCTGCGCCCCTCCCTCCAGCAGAGCTGATGCAATGGATACACTGTTGGCCAGGTTACCTCCCCTAATGGGTGTGTATTCTGATTGGCTGCTTAAGTGCCCTAGGAAATAGGGCTTCCACTGTCAGCATTTACAGAGAAGAAAGCATGGTCACACTGGCAAGGGGTGAGAAGGGCCTGGGAGGGGAGAAACGGGAGGGGAAAGGGAAAAATGTTTTGGCAAGATAACTGTCCCCTGCTGGCAAGTGGCAGGCGAAGGCTTTCCTTTTGTATATTCCTGTTTTTAATGTCTGTTTCTCTGATCAGTGGAAGGAGAGAAGTGAAAACTTCTACTATCTAGCAATAACGCATGACCCAACTTTGAAGGATCACAAGCTAGAACACGTTGAGGACTTCAAATCCTGGATAAAGATATATACTTAAAGCTCACTGGACCATGCAGAAATGCTGGGAAGCTGGGCGCATGGCACGGGAACGCGTCTCTCTGACCTTGGACAGCGCTCTCTGAAGATTCTGCCGGTACCTGAGCCAGGATGCGGGATCCTTTCTCTCCACACAACTGCCCTTTGAGATCTGACTTGGTTCACCTCTGTGAAACTAACACCATTGAGCGCCTAGGGCCCCAGACAAGTTACACAGAGCTCCATCTCGCTCACCTGACCCAGTCTGTCATTCTTCCTTTCAACAGCCACGCCTACCTCCCTTGAAACAGTTTAGGTTACAGAAGCACAGCGGGCCAGCAATTTGCTCTTAAAAGATAAATCCTAAAGATAAAGCTCAGTGCTTTACACTGAGTAATGGCTCAAGAAGTTTGCCTTCAGCGCAAGCTGTAGGGGGCAGAGCTGAGAGAAGTTGCTGTTATGGCTCCAGTTCACTGGTGCTATAAACCATGGGCTAGGAACAGAGGGACTTCAAGTTTGAGACTAGCATGTCTCTGGACTCACCTCTGTACTCTTGGCTCCAAAGAGTCAAAAAAGAAATTGGTAACAACTTACCCCCCAAGTAGTTCCTCAGTGTTAACACTAAGAAGTTTCCTTATTATTTTTAATACAACACAAATAAATGCTAAGGGACAAAAATCCAACTTAACAGGATGCAGTCTAGTTCAGAACTGGCTAAATGAGAGTGAGGCAGGAGTGACGGAATGGCTGTACTCTACATCCAAGTGGGCCGAGTGGACTCCAACAAGCAACACTCACTTAGCACATCTCGGAACCAGACAGACACTTTCCGTGGGAAACGAGATTTGGGACTTCTAAGGGAAATGAACATGCACCGCCTGCACCTAGCCTACCGGCTGGTAGGCCCCATCCCTGCTCCTCTGAGGAAGTGAAAGAGCACTGATTTCAGCAGCCAAGAAACGGGCTCTTTTAAGGCAATTTAGACATTGCAGATTGTTCCGCATACAAGGTACCTTAGTATTTCCTGTTAATAAGGGACCTAATTAAGACTGGAGGCCCCAGAAATGGCAGAGGGAGAACCACCTTTCTGGGATGGGAAAGGAAAAGCTTTCTTTGCGACGAGGGTGAAGAACCTCGAACCTCAGTTTCATCTAAAGAGCCATGAAGCAAGTTCCCGTGTGGTCTGCAGAACTTGGATAATGAGATGAAAACATGAGAATGAAATGATAGGGAAAAAAATCAACAGAGAAGGAAAAAGAATAAAATAAGAGTCATCTTAAAAAATATTTCTTTCAGAGTTGAATGGGTCACGTGGACAGGTCGTTGGTCCATTAGTATCTGCAAAGAAGGAGATTGGTTGGTTAGCACGTGAGACCTCTAACACGAGAATCAGACAGAGCACCTTCTCCAGGCCCCTCCCTGGCCCAGCCCGAACCCCCCCATTCTCCAGCGCATCGTTCTTCACAGGTCTTCCATGGGGCTCCCGGCAAGGACATTTTGGGTGTTACTTCCTGCCCCCGATAATGTTAAGTCAGTGGTTGTCCACTCTGGCTATGGGACAAAATGATCTGGGAGCTTTTACCAAATAAGCTTGCCTAGGTCCCATTCCAGACCAAGTGAATTAGAATCTCTGGGGGTGAGCCTCACACTCTAAAACCTCGGCAAACACTTCCCATGGCTATACACTTTCTCTGCCAGTCTTGTCAACTCGGAGCAGACTCTTCCACTCTTCCAAATCAGGTAGAACAAGCATTTGATCGTCATCGAAGAAAGCTAGCTTAGTCTGCTTGGCTTAATTTTAGGGAACAGGCTTTTTCACTCACTTTCCCCCAAGTTACCTGTAGTAGTTGGGTTTGAATGGCCCGTTTTTGTTGAGTCCCAGATATTTAGCTTGGTCATCTGTCAGCTCTGTCAGGTGGGCATCAAATGACGGCAGGTGCAAGCTGGCAACGTACTCATCTGGGAAGAGCAAAGTGGTGAGAGGCAGACCCCTAGTCAAACACGCCTCTCGGGTGTAACCTCCCCCCATTTTCATTTGAAGCTTTCTGAGAAAGAGGATGACTGAGGAACTGAAAGAACTCACAACCTGAAGTATTTACTTAGTTTAGCCCCTCCAAACCACACCTCTAGCAGGGCATTTCTCATTATATATGGGAAGTGCCTTCAGAAAGAGGTGGACTTATACTTCCCTAGCCTCTTCTGGCAAAGATTTGGCCAACGTGTCACCTAGCGCTCCCACCTGCCCCCTTAACTAGATGGAAAGGATAGTCAAATGATGAACCAACGTGAACCCCGGGGAGCTCAGAGGAGCCTTGCGTCACTATTTAGGGTGAGATTCACTGACAGGATCTCAGGGTCAGGGATCTCTACGGCAACTGGCGCACACCTGTGACTTTTCAGAAGATGGGCTCCCTTGGCTTTTAGGAATGTGAATTTTAAAAACCATTCTGAGGTAAGCCGTTGGAGGAAAAGAGGGAGCAATTTTTTTTTTTTTTTAATTTAAAGGTAAAGGACAGGAGACGATGTATCATACACACACAGCCTGAGCTGTCCCCTGGAAGGGCAGACAGTGGGGTAGGAGACAGTGTGCCCAACTAACAGAGGATGGACAATGAAACTTACATGTGAAACTTTTATCTTTCATTTTGGCCCCAGGCTGCACTCGGTTGCAATGGGAAGTTCACTGAACTTCATGAGGCAACTCAGGGTAAGAACATCCTCTCTGAACCACTGTGCTAGTCCTCCTACACGGATGAACGGATTACTCTCTGATCAAGAAACTGAGGCACGTGGAGATTAGGCCTTGTGCTGAGGTCAAACAATCATTAAACACCACAACAGGAATTAGAATTCTGACTCTGAATCCAGGGCTTTTTGTCATGCTCACGCCCCCAAATCACAGAGTTGTCTGGAGAGCAGTGCAGGTTTGCCCTGGTTTGCACTCACCCATTTTCTTGGGAAGCAAGTACACGTCCTGCTTGTACCGGCCCTCAGGTGCATTATAGAGTTCTATCAGTGCCAGAGCCTATGGTGGGAAAGTGCCAGAAAACACAGACATGCTTCTTAGACAGGGACGTGAATAAATAAAATCAGGCTTACTAGGGCCTTAGGGTAAGTGCTCCGGTGATCTACATAGTGAACTGCACCTACAACTCCTACTAATAAAGGCCAGTCGGCACATATCACAAGAGGATTTGCTGGTGTTTTGTTTAATTCTTGACAAAAGAACAAAATAAACACAACTAAGCTGGAACACTATATTCTCAACTAAAACACCCAACTCAAGCAGACACAAACACTGACTAGTGACTGTCCTACATTTGGGAAGTCTCAGTCTCAACAAAGAGTAATATGAAAAAGGAACAGTCTGGCAGAATGTAGCCTGGCACACTCGCCTCCCAGCTCTGCCCTCTGTCCAGCCCCACAAATCCCAGTGCAGGGTAGCAGGTGTCTTACCACATACCTGTGTTGTAGCTGTGATGGACAGAACAAAGGTGGGAACTGTGGAGCAGCTCAAATTGAGCAGACGACCCTGGAAGAGCAAGAGCAGGATGAGCCAGGATGAGCCGTTATCTCTCAGTCTCAGATTCCAACAGCATGCGAGTCAAGCAAGTTAAAGAAAGGACTTTAGAGTCTTCTAGACTCAACTGGAAGAAGAATTACAGTTCCACATCAGGACTCTAGGCTTCAGACTAGTTCCAACCATCCATCAGAGCCTGAAAGCTCAGCCAGATGTGGACAGGAAAAAGCATGCATTTCTAAACACTGTGTGTGGGTACACCCATGTGTATGTGTGTATTTCAAGATTTTTCATTTACTTATTTAAGAGGCTGAGATATCTAGAGAGCAAGCGAGCACATGGCCCCACCTGCTTGTTTACTCTCCAAATGCCTGCAATGGCCAGGGCTGGGCCAGAACAAAGCTCAGAGCCAGGAATTCAATCCGAGTTATCCATGTGGACGGCAGGGACACAATTACTTGAGCCACCACTTGCTGCATCCTAGGGTCCACATTAGCAGGGAGTTGGGAGTCAGGAACCAGAGCCAGGCCTCTGATAAGGGATGAAGGCATCTTAACATCTCAACTGCCAGGGCCAAAGTTCTGGCCCAAAAGTGAATTTCTTTTCAGTGACTCTATTTTGGGGAGCAGCCCATTTGACAAATATACCTCTATCCAAATACAGACTTTCAGGGAGAAGGCAGGCCCAGTACTTCTGCCTGTCTCCTCTCCCCACCACAGCTCCAACGATACTGTGCTACTCTGCAGAGCCCGCCTGCGCATGTACCTCTGCCAGGAGGACGACACGTTTGCCATCTGGCCAGATGACATGGTCCACCTGGGAACGCACTCGCTCCCACGTCAGCTCCGGAGTGCGGAGGCTGGTCTGCAAGGAAGAAGGCACAGGTGACCACGGCTGTGAGGGAAGCAGAGGGGAGGGGCCGCCACCGAGCACGAAGGCCTCACCACGTCGATCTCCGTGTTGGAGTGGCCCATATTGCACACGATGCAGCTGTTTTTCATGCGGTCCAAGTGCTCCCGCGTTACCACATTCTTGTTTCCTAGGAGTAAAGATGGGTTGCTGAGCAGAGAGAGGCTGGACAACAGAGATCCCGACTGGCTTCAGCCGGAACATGAGAAAGGTTTCTTGGCATTCGAGAATGCGTATACACTGCGGGAGAAGTGCCTAAAGGCTTCTCAGGCTCAAGGAGCTGGTTTCAATTTTTTTTTTTTTTTTTTTTTAACTATTTGGGAGGGATGGAGGGAAGGAGGGAAAGAGGATGTTGGAGTCGGGGAGGGGGGAGAGACAGAGAGGGAGTGACTGCTTTCCCATGTGCTGGTTCATTCCCTAAACGCCTCCAATGGCCAGGGCTGGTTGGGGCCAGGAGGCAGGAGCTGGGAATTCAACCCAGATCTGCCCCGTGGCTATCAGGAAGTCCATTACTTTGAGCACCACAGTCTTCTCGCAGGGTCTGAATGAGCAGGAAGCTGGAATAAGGAGCTGAAGCTGGGTATGGAACCCAAGGACTCTGGAATGGGATGCACAGGCATCTTAAGTGCTGGGTCCAACACCCATCCCAATTACCTGTTTTAACATCAGTCAGTATAAAAAGTCAGCACAGGGAAAAGACCCTACTCTGTCACTCATTAGTTTTGAGAGCTCACTCAGGCGAGACATTACACTGAGCACAGGTCTCAACTACGCTCAGTGGAAAGTCAGACCCCTTCTAAGACTTAGTTCCCGAGCGAACACTCTCCCATGTACACCAGCTAACCTACCTGTACAAGTTATTACGACGTCAACTTGCCGGATGACTTCATTTAGCTTTACCACCCTGAACCCATCCATGCTGGAAGAAAAGGAAGGAACACTATGAGCAAAGCAAGGCGGCAGTGGGAAGACACTGATCCCAAAACAGATGACAAACAACTGCTTCTGAAGTCAGATGCAGAGCTGCCTCACCAGGAGGACAGGCAGTCAGCAGCGCTGAGCTACACACACCCCCCTCTGGAAGGGAAAAAGCCAAGCGGCTCTAGAAGAGCCCCAGGATTAAGGGAGAGGGACAGAGCAATCCTGGCTTCTCCTCCTGTGGGGAGATCTCTGCAGAAAATGATTCATACACTCAATCACAAACTCTTAGAAACAGAAAGTACCTGGAGTAAA